CCTCTGGGCACAGGATGGGACTGTTGTTTTCTGATCTGTGTGACTATGCCCCCTTTACTCTCCTCCCTCTCCCTCCTCCCTTCCCCTCTCCTTTCTCGAGCCCTCATTTGCTGTGCCTCAGCAGTAACATCTCTCTCTCTCTCTCACACACACACATCTCTTACTCTTTCCACCCCACCCCATGCAAATCCCCTCAATCCATCTTAATGCTCGGGCCGCTGCTGGGAAACACATTCTAGCAAACTCGAGTGCTTCATCTTCCCCCAGTGCTGAGGAAAAAAAAAAAAAAAAAAAAAAAAAAGAGGATGAGAAAGTGGAGGGGTTGAATAAAAAGTGAAAAGTAGGGCTGGTACAGCTGCTGGTTTCCAGAGGCTTCATCTTGAAAAGGAATTGTGGAAAACTGCTGAGTATAAAAATAAAATTAGCTCATACTCAACTGAAAAATAACTCTTATAAACTCTTGCTTGCCTCGCAACAGACACAGTGAAGCAGTGAAATATGAGATGGCATGTGTGAAAATACCCTTTACACAATGCAGCTAAAAGGTACATGAAGGTGTAGCGGTAAAACAATTAACAGCTATGAGATCAAATGAGCACACATTACAAGGTCCTAAAATACCTTCTCAGGCCTTGGGGGCACAGATATTGTACCCACTGTGCAGCTGTTGACATGGAGACGTCTACCACAGACGGGACTGTGACGTTCCAACATATTATTCACCCCTGCACTGTCTAACCTTTCTGCAGCGTGTAAACCTGCGTTAAACAGCCGATTTCCTCCCGAGCAACAAAAAAAATAAAAAAAGCTTTGCCAGGAAGCCCATTGTCATGGAGCCATCCCTCACAACCAATGCTCTGCAAGGCGAGCACACCGGGGACCTGACCGCAGCACTCACATCCCCGCATCACATCCTCCTGTTTTGAAAGGAAATGGCAGGACCCTCAACGGGCCACGGCGGCAGCTCAGAGGAAGGCTCTGATGGTGGGCCGTCTGAAGCAGGTGGTTCTGCAGGTGAGGGGAAAAAAAACAGCAAGACATGAAAACCAAATAACTGTGAAATGAATGCGTTTGCTTAACAGCAGGTTAAGTAGTGATTGAATCCAAATCACACAGTCAGAAGCAGTAAAAGACAGCATGTGGTAGCATATACACACAACTCAAATCTGCAGAATGCTGAGGTCAACCTGAATGCAGACATTTTACAAACACAACTTCACTTTCAAGTGTCAGAGACGAACGCCCAGCAGAATAAATCTCCTCTGCGTCTTCATCAGCTTTAATGCCATTCTCTTTGAACAGGAAGTAGAGGCAGAGTGGGGTTTTTTTTCAGAGGCTGTATATTGTCATGTATGAGCAGCTGTCATTCCCTCCCACTCTGTCTCCCCATCACTGGCGGGGTATCATTCTCTCGAAGACAAATAACAGTATGGTTTAAAACCAGCGATCCAGTCTGATCCAGATTATTTCTATTCAAGCTGATCTTTTGTTGTCAGAAAAGGAAAACACTAGCTCACTTTCTAAAAGCTACAAAGACGCTATTCACACTCAAGCTGAATCAAACTGCAGATTACAAGATAAAGAAAATAATGTATTACAAATCATAATATTGTACCAAGGCTTAATATCCTGTGGGATACCAGCTCAATGTAATCAAATTACATACAAATCAATATGATAAACATGATATGAACATCGGTGTGTTAGCACTGGTTTTTAATGCTTTATCTAGCTTAAAGAGAAACTTAACTCCGCCTGACAATCCTGACAATCCTCTTCACCTTGCTGCCGTGCAGGATAGGTGCACTTCAAGACCTGGTGACATCACTATTGGGTGTGGTTACTGGTTCAACAGAGCACATGGCTGAATGAACCCCACCACACCTTACAGCGATGCTGGGTGTGTTCAGAGGTGAAACCGACTTGAAGCGTTCAAACAGAGAGGAAAACAAACACTGCTCTCCAAACTGCCGTTAGGTCACTCTTTAAGAGTTGGATGAATTTTCTCAACGTGTAGTTTCCTGTTTTAAAATCCTGTTTATCTAAAAAGCTGGAGATAAATAAGGTTTTCACTGGTCAACGACATCTTGTTGTAATACAAATCCCCAATACACTACATTACATTACTGATATTAAGTTATGTGATGCAATATTAGCGCATACCAGCGCTACTCTGAGTCTATTTACACAAACGGATGCTTGTCCTGAACCTTCTGAATGTGATAATTGAGCACAGAGGCCCTGAAGCAGCCTCGGCGCTCTTCTACGCCTTAAAGCTGCCTCTCTGGGGGCATCGCAGTATATTTCATCAAGCCAGGCACAGAGCTGCATGGAATTACATTTTTAAGAATAGGGCTGAAGCACCATACACAACAATCAAGAGAGAGTGTGGTGATATGTCACCCTGACAGCATGAGTATGGTGTAGCAGTCTTCCAAGTGCCCACCCCTCCACACTCACACAGCTGAACAGTCATAAAGCAAATCCAGCCATAAACTATACCATCATGGCACCGGGGCGAATAAACACGTCTCCCCATCCCTCTGAATAAAGAAAATTCCGGGCTGTGGATCACATCCAACATACAGATTGCATTTAATTCATAACCCCATCCATCAACACGATAACCTCATGTGAAGATCCCGTCACAAGACATCCCAGTTCTCAGAGTTTGTTCCCAAAGCCATGAGGCACGTTTCTGCTCCACACCGTCCATCCGGTGGGCTTCATAGCTCATTAATGTACGTGAGCGTGATGGATGGGGTCTGGACAAAAATAATCTCAGCAGATGCACATTATGCCAGATGAGACCTTGATAGATGTTCATGGTGACGAATGTGCCATCAGTGATGCTGCGATGCTTTGGTATCCTATCTAGGTTAACACACCACTGTTCTTTAAACTGGACGATGCTCTAGAAACAAACGGTTATATTAACATTATTATGTGTGAGGGAAAGCTGCTGGGGTGCATCTCATAAATATTGCTCCCGTAGCTGCGCCTACGGTGTAGAAATGTGAGACTCTGAATTGTAAGTCGCTTTGGATAAAAGCATCTGCTAAATGATCTGCTAATGTAATGTAATGTAATATTAATCAATTCAGGAGGTTTCTCATGCGTTACTTTATTTGGATTTATTTCAAACATGAATTATACTAAAACATACCTTGAACGTTGGAGGAAGTTTACTGCGACTGAGAAGTGTGGACTGTATTTTTAATACCTTTGCTGCCAACACTTGTCCTGAGAGACTTAATTTTCTGGTTTTCTACATAATCATGTAATTACTTTGTAGCTGAGGATTAGGGCTTGTTTATTTCTCATGTTGTGAGACCCAAATGAGCTTTATAGGTTTGATTATATTTATTTATATAGTATATTCATCTTTTTATGCGCTTATTAACAGTTGTGTTATGCTTTGTCTCTTAATGAAAAAACATTAACTGTTCTGCCATAGAGCTTTAAAAAAGAGGCAATGTTATATTAGTGATAATTAATGATTGTGTGCACCACACAGCACATTAGTCCTGCTGTGATTTATGGCGGTGGCCAATAAGAAACTAATAAAGTAATAAGACACTTACGTTACAATATGGTGCTTAAGCAATAAATGCTAAGAAGGGAAAAAGCCAGGCTCAAATTCACAGGATATTTTTACATTATTAAGTTGTTCCAATTTAATTAAATTCAAACCAATTCAATAAAACTGCTCCTTTTAATACGATATCCTTATAAAACTCTGAAAGCAAATATCTGTGGGTAACAAACTAGTCTTGCACAACGTGCTCCTGTTTTCCTCTCCACCGAGTGAAGCCACACAGCAGAGGTAAGAATTTAAGGTACTGTAGGACTCGCATGTCAACCTCTCTGACAAGTGCACTGCTCCCAAAATAGAAAACAGATCTCGCAGCAACTAGCAAGCCGACGATGGCCACGGCCCTCCAGTAGCAGCTCGCTGACCTGCGGAGTAGAGGCAGCGACTTAAAATCTGATTTATGTGAAGCACTGCCATCTATCGAATTCAAATAAAACGGAAACTAAAATACATTTTTCATAATCCTACAGATTCCCTGACAGGCTGAGTGGAGAAGGCAATCAGCAAATGCAATTTGGAAAACTTTATTACAGCCGAAACAGCAGGGACATCTATTATATTAACATAAAGAAATAAAATGAGAAAAGGTCTCGGTGAATAAAATAGCCTTAAAGGAGTCAGAGCCAGTTAATCTTTCTCTCTCTACTTCCACAAAGTAATTGATTTTTAAATAACCAGTAAACTGTAATGTAGAAATACATTAGTTTACATCGGGAACTTGAAAACTCCCTTTCTATAATGCACTTTTCTATAAAGTATGAAATTGAATGAGTGGAAATGGACCTGGATCAACGTCAGAAGACCATTTCCATCCATTCAACTTATTCTCTTACTTGCGTCTAGCTGAGCTTGCATCATTGGAAACCACGTTAGCAACGACAATATAAGCTTAAACACAATTTGAAAAACTTTTTATTATGTCAATTACAGCAATGTTTTACTTGAGGTCATTCGGGATTTTTGTCTTTGTTCATCCTTAAATACATAATCTTGATTTTGCTGAAAGGCAAAACATGAAGACTTCACGTGGAAATTAAATTAGTTTCAAATCATATTGTTCAATTTACTTTCCCATAACATGCTACAAGCGTTTAATCATGGCCTCCGGTACAACTGGATGTGGGTCAAGAGTGAGAAGGTGGGATGAGCACTGGAAAATATTAACTCAAAATAAGAAGCTTTCCATTGGTACAAACTCGACAAATATATCAACGCACAGACACAAAAGATGACTTTGTCCTCAGAAGAAACGTCGTTCAGTTAAGTTACTATGGTATGGCTCCTGAAAGAAAATGGACACATGAAACATCTTTGCACACATCCACTTACAACGGACAAAAACACTGCTGCATTCAATTTATTTGAGGATTTGAGTTATTATCATGCATTGTTGGCATATAAAAAGGTGGTTCATGTGTCATTTTCCTGTGTCAAATCGCTTAACGGAAACAACCAATTCAGCTGTCTGTTGGCTGTAAAAGCAGTATTGGAGATTAGATGAATACTTTGCACCAATTTGGTGCAAATGACCAGAGTCTACAAAGTGTCTGAATACATTCCATTATTCACCGTTCAACTGAGCCAATCTCACCGATCCAAGCTAGACATTTTGGCAGTTTGTTTTAAAGTGCTGTAAGAAACACCGGGCTGAATGAGTGTTACTAAAAATTCTTTTCAAGACATTATTTTAGGAGACCACAACATAGTTTCAATCATTGTACTACTCGAATTAACTGCCGACGTCGGATAAACAAGAATACGAGAAACCAAGTAAAAACACGACATACTTGAGATGTATCCAAAGGAATAGCTGTCAGGCCACACACGCCCGACTAGAACCACACTCATACTTACCACACAGATATACAGTGTTCCTGAGGACCAGTTGTTGCAGTCGACTACTGCCATTTTCATTTTTGTTTCCCAAACAAAAATATACCAGCTAGATATATTCTACAATATAATGACTACAGAAATTTAAATCAAAACATACATACTTTGCAAATCATGTATAAACTGAAGTAGGTGCCCGTTGGGAGAGACATGGAAATTGGCTTTATCTAGTTGATGCTCTATTCTGCACATGCATGAAGAGACTCTGGAAACATCCACAAATCTAAACAACCAAAAATGCGAAAAAATATAGAATGAAAGAATAAACTATTTCCCAACCCTCACTGATACATGATTGCCATTTGCAATATATCAGCTTTCCAACATAACGGAGCCCTAATGTTACTGTTTTGGGTCAAGTAATGACTCATATTGTATATATTAACTCATTGTCATTTACGGTTTCTTTTTCCTTTTTTTTTTTTTTTTTTTTTTTTGCAAGCTGGCTAAAATCGAGGCTCAGTTCAGTTCATAAGATAGACGGAAGATAAAGAGAGTTCCCTCCGTAAATCCAGCAAAGGCAGTTGAGAGATTTAATAACAGTCCCACCACGAAAAGGTTGACCTCAGTGCCTTGATTAGTCCGGAGCATTGCCTGAGAGGTGAGATGAGCTCCCAGATGAGCTCAACAGTGTCCACATGGCTCACTTCATCAGCACTTCCTGAAACACACAAAGACAAACAAAGTTCACCAACAAAGAACTGTGTAGCGACGCAGCGATAAGTCAAGACGGACATGAGCACCCGGGCTTTAAATTCATTTGTTCTTTAATTCAAAAATGCAAGTGTCCAACAGTCCAACTTTTATGAAACAGGATGTTAACCCGTCGCCTGATGTTCATGCTGATATTATTATTAAAGAGCTTTATGAAAAAAACCATGCCGTTTATCTTAAAAAAAACGAGAATCAAGATTTTCAAAAGGTCCTTAGTTGTAATTAAATGTACACTGGCATGTACAGTGACACCAACAGATCTGCAATAAGCTATTATTTGCCTGGCCAGTTAATGCATCTCGCCCCAATAAAGACAAAACGAGAGAAGTCAAAGAAACAAACACAATGCACCGTCTCACCTGAGTCTCTTTTGGCTCTTGAATTGGTGCTTCTTCTGTTTTCACGTCAACAGAAGGAGCGGCGTTGACCATTTGTAAGCTCCTGGTGACTGGACCACCTACTCTCTCCCTCATCCGGAGGGAGAACCGCTCCTCTTTCTTCAGCTGTTGCGGCGGCGGCGGTGGCGGCAGTGGTGGTGGAGGTGGTGATTTGGCCCCGGCTAATCTCTTGGGTGCTGCCTCTTTGCCCATACGCTGCATTCTCATGGCTGGCCGTGGTTGTGCAGTGTCACTGGGAGTGTCGGGGGCTGACGGGGTGGGAGGTAGAGACTGAACTTGGCCCTTCTTGGTTTTCTTGCTTGCAGAGACTGGTGCTGGGAAGGAGGCAGGCCTCTTTAGTCTGCCCAGTGTCGCGGCAGGTTTTCCTTTGTTTGCCTGGGAGGGTTCATGGTCTGCTGCTCCAGAGCTGCGAGCTCTGGTCTTTCCGAGGGGTTTAAGCTCCGGCTCCGTCTGCGATATTTCACTGTCCGAGGCTTTCTTTCTAAGCTTTGTGTTTTTATCTGCCACCGACGCCACCTCTTTTTTCACCTCTGCTAGACCCTTTCTGCCCCTTTTAACAACAGGCTTCATGGGACAGCTGACTGCCATGTGTTTACCGAGACTGGCAGGATAAGTAAACTCCCGACTGCAGTGGGGGCAAACGTTAGAGGCCTGCTCTTCTTCAACTTTAACAGTGGCCTTCTTTGCAGTAGTGGCAGCTTTATTCTTCTGTGAAATCGCTTTCTGGACGAGCTGGTTTTTCTTCTTACTGAGGGAACTCATTTTTGTTTTACCATTCGTGTCTTGATTAAAGTTAAGTCTTTTTGGCTGACCCATTCTACGGAAAGGACTCTGGCCTGCAGCGGCTGCCGAGGGCGACACGACTCCGTTGGGACTCTTCACTATTTGCTTGAGGGGGATGGGGTTTTTCTTGGGAGTGTAGCGCTTCTTATCACTGGCACTGGCACAGGCCAAAATGTGCTTGTGCAGTTCAGGCATGTTGTCAAAGCTGTTGCCACACTTGGTGCAGCGTATGGCAGTGCTGAAAGTTTGTGGTATGTTGTGGGTGGTGAAGTTAGTAGCCGAGGCCACCGAGCCAGCATGGGAACGGCTGTGATAAGGAAAAGGGGGCGGTTTGTAACTGGGGTAGTGTTGGTTAATGCCAAGGCGAACATCCGGGGCTTTAGGCTTCCCTCCTTCTGAGGCCATGATCTTTATTGTAGTGTACAGCTCCTCATTGGGGTCCTCCGTCCCGTCCTCTGTGTGATTACCGTTAACGTCGGGCTCTTCTTTTGCTACGTCGGTGTCAATGTGTGGAGCGGCTTCATCGGTCGTCTCCGGTGCCGGTGTTGAAGGACTGCTTTCCTCTTTGGCTCTGGATGGATCCGTGTAGTTCTGTGGCCTAAGCTTGCCACTTTCTACAGTAGTGTGTGAACATGTCTCGTTTGGATGCAAATCCTTTTGGTGCTGCTGGAGGTTACATAGAAATGCAAACTCCTTGGAACAAAAGGAGCACACAAAAATCCTGCCCACTCCGTGTAGCGCTGTCCGGTGAGCCAACAGGGCTGGAGCATCGCCAAACAGCTGCACGCAGAATTCACATTTGAAGGGCCAATCGGCAGCATGCTCAGCGATGTGTCCGCTGAGCTCTTTGATGGAGTCGAACGGCTCCTCGCAGACATTACACACAAAGGTCTTGCAGTATGTCGAGTCGACGTCCTCCGCCTCAGAGGTTTTGTCGGACGGTTTATCGGGAGCAGCAGGCTGAGGTGAAGAGTCAACCATATCCGGAGGGGCGTGATTCATAACGGGCAGCTCATCTACGCAGGGCTGAGGCTCTTCTTTTATCTTAATCTGAGGGAGGGATTGTAAAACCAGTGTCGGAGATGGATCATGAGATGCAGGAGGAGGAGATGATGATGAGGAAGATGAGGATTCTGGCTGGGGTGAGAGGGCAGCAGGAGTTCCCTCGGTTACCGAGTCAACGTTTTGGTTAATTTTGCCGTTTGCCATTGCGACGGAAGATGCAGTCGGGGAAACATCTTCTTCCATAGCGGCCAGATCGACCGATGTCGGCTCAGGCCGGCTTAATGACGGCGAGCGGTTATCGGGATCTTTAAGCGGAGTGTTCGGGAAGTCCTGCGGCTCAGAGATATGGTCCCCTTCCTCGTCTTCTTCACCAAACAAATTGTCCTCAGAGTCCGACATAGGATTGTGTTCAACCGATCTTGGTGACATTTTTGGCGAGAGGACGGGAAGAGGTCTTTGGGCAGAGAAGTCCGACGGCTGAGAAAGAGGCGAGCTAGGCATAGCTGGCGGAGACGGTATCGTAGGTAGTAGAGGGGGCGGTGGGGTTGGGGATGTCACGCTGGAGCTATCGGGGGAAGGGGGGTTCATGGTGACAGGGGTCAAAGAGGGTGGAGAGGGGTGGGCAGACTCAGTCGCAGTGCTTGGAGAGCGAGAATGGAAACAACTCAAATTTGCTACGGCAGAGGGGCCCTCCTCTCCTGGCAAAGGTAGACCTAAATAATCATTCATCAGCACCTTTTCAAGCATGCTAGTGTTCGGCTTTCTCTTTTTTATCAGTGGCTGTGGGGCTGGACCTCCCTTTAACTCCGGCTCGACGTTGCTCTTCCGATGGAAGCTTAAATCAAGAGCCGAATCCCCGAGCACCTTGTTCGAGCTCTCCCTCCACCTGCTGACAGAGTTTGACAGATCCAAGGGCTGCTGATTACAGGAATTTCCACCACTATTAGATGAGGTTTGGCCGTGCATATTATTGTCAGAAAGGTTCAAGCTGTCTCCATCTTCTTTGTCCAGTAGGCTCCCAGGAGGTGACTCACTGCGGCTTTCCAGCTTTGGCACCTTTAGGGCGAATGAGCTCACCCCCTCGGATTTACAGCTCTCCGTTTTACATGCAGGACTGAGTTGTGGAGATGACGGGGGAGAGGATGTTCTTCTTTTAAACCGGCCTGAGGCCCCTGGCAGCTGCGTGACTGACAGCGGCGAGGCCAATCTATGGCTTTCTGTTATCAGGGCAATGGTTGATTTCTGAATGTCTTTTGTCTGAAGGAGCTGTTTGAGCTTCGGCGAGAGATAAACCGTTTTCTCTCGTTGAAATGCTGATGAATCGGCAGCTTGTTGGAACAGCCCACCCACTAACAAGTTAGACGAGGAAGACGTAGAGGATGATGAAGACGACGAAGAGGCTGCGAGGGATGCCGACTCCGTCTCGACTTTAAGGCTGGGAACAAACGGAGGCGTGGATGTTCTTCTTTTTGCTGCCGGCTGGCCGATGTTGGACATTTGCTTCGCCGCACCAGTTCGACCGTCCACCTTCAGCGCCTGACTAATCTGATTTGGACTAAGGATGACTGTGTTCAGACCGAACAGAGCCGCAGATCTGGAGTCCACCTCTATCACATCGCAGCTGCTCACCGAACTGGTGGACACAATCTTGCCGTCAATGTAGAAGCTCAAATTCTCAGAGATGTTTTTGGATATGTCAACTGCGTAATCATCCCTGTCTACCTCGTCTTCTGTGTCCGCACTGGGCACGTAGACGGGCGGAGGGCTGGTGCTCGGTGACTCATCAGGCTGCTGCTGCTGCTTCTTCTGCACCGATGCCTCTTGCAGCAGCATGCCTTTCCTGCGAACCCCCTTTGGTAATAAGTGCCGTTCATGTATTCTACGTTGGTGTCGGCGCATGTTTGTGTGTGTGCCAAACGCTTTATTACAGTACTTGCAGGGATGGAGTTCCTTTGACTCCCCATTTTCATCCAATATAAAAGGACGGTCAGCATAAGGCCCCAACTCCTTTCTCTGCATCTCAGAGTTGAGTAGAGGTACTCCAGTAACCTGGGACCCTATGGCTATATAGTGACTCGTCGGGCTGGTGCAGTCGGGACTCGAAGCATCGGTGTGCATCACAGGACTGATTAGAGTGGCAGTGCCTGCCAGAGAGCCGGGCCTTTTCTTAAGCCCACTCTCGTGCCGTCTCTCATGCCGCCGCCGCCCCACCTGCGAGCCGAAGGATTTACTGCAGTACCGGCACTTGAACAGTTGCATTTGCTGGTTAGTGATGGCATGAATGTGTATGTGACGTTCCAGACCCTGTCTGGTGGAGAAGTGGCGCTCGCAGTGTTGACAGGGATACGACTCTCCATGGGGATCGTCCTCAAGGTCACCATCGGGGTCTGGGTCAAGATCAGGATCAGGATCAACCTGCGGTTCTTGCCCCGCAAGTGAGGAAGACTCAGCCTTTCCCTGTGGATCCTTATGGCTTTCTTCACCGCAGGTCAGCAATGGGCCCGGCTGCTTATTTTGCATGGAATCAGCGGCAGGTAAACGCGGAGAAGTTTGTTGCTGTGCTTCACTCGAATCCTCAGCATCCTCCTCCTCCTCTTCTTCTTCCTCTTCCTCCTCCCCATTTCCCTTGTGAGTCATCACTGTTGACATGTCCTGCACACCGCTACGGTCAGTGCTTCTCATGGGATGGGTTTCCTGGAGTTCCTGTGCGGGCCCTAAGGTTGATGGCCCCTCGTCCTCCTCCTTCAGACCTGTAAACAATTTAGCACGAGTGTCAAGTATTGCTTTTTCCTCAAACCATTTCAGGAGTATCTGTAAACAGTTAAAACTTTTTTTTCAAATAGGCTGAGTAAGTACCTGAGACATGATTATAAATAAGTGGGTGAAAAATAAGCCAATTATCGCCAACAATAAGTCACCTTACCTTCTTCTCCATCCCACATCTCCTTGACGGTAGGTTTGGTTACGCTTGCTTTCTTGAATCCTCTCTCCAGCAGCTTTCTTCTGGCTGCAAGCACACACACACACACATCTCTGTGTTAGACTTGATCAAAAGCAAACAGGTTTAAGATGAAGAGTGTAAAAAACTAAGAATATTAGTATATCAAGACATTTTTAACCAGTGCTAGTTTTTTTCCCCACAAATACTCCATGAGCAGACTTTTCCTCAAAAGATGCATGTATAAAAATGACTATTATAAGAACAATTGTTATAACATGTTAGGGTTAGCCCTAATATGGTAAATGTGGATTTGAGCATTATTATTTCTAAATAGTCACATACATTTCTGACTAAATAGCAGACTTTGGTTATTTATTGCAAACAAAATTCTAGTAGTAGGAGGGTAGCCAAGACTTTAATGTGACTTAAAAGGTGTATTTTACCGTTTTCACCTTGTGTGCTCAAATTACCACATCAAATCAAAGTGGGAAAAAGCATAAAACAGCCTTGTATTACACTCAAAATCATGGGCTTGCATGCATCAGTGATTTAAAGGTCTAACCACTGCACTGCCTGACTCAAGAGGCTTCTCTGGGACCTCCTCATCATAGAGAGTGTGTCAACAAGGTCACCTGACCTGGACTACAAAGCCGTATTTATACCAGAGAAACACATGCTGCAGGTCAGTCATCTGACCAGCATGGTCACAGGTATTCTGCTAAATCTACCGCAGCAACACAACTACACAATCATTTGTATAAGTTCACTAGTATTTGGGGGCCCTAGTCTTTTCTGTCACAGATGAAGCTAGCTAGGATAGGTAAGCTAACTTCACCACGGTTGACTTTGCAGTACAGTACAGTACAGGGCTGCTAAAAGCCACAATACTGCAGCATAACGAGACAACGTGTTCGAGGCCATTTCCTGTAGGGCACATAATAAAGTTCACAAAAGCCACTGTAAAGTTTAAATAAAAACTTAGGACGCTTACATTTTGTTTTCTACCTTATTTCACCGACATCTCAGGGGTGACAGAGACGGATTCTACCTTCTACATGTTGCCTGTATATTTAATTGCATGTGCATGAAAAAGTCAGTCTCTGAATAACATTTGCAAACATGTAACTGGTGCTTTATCGACACAGAGCTATCGCATTCTAGTGGTGGCTTGCAATACTTCTGCAGGGTGTCTTTATCATACATTACAACACACTCCACAAGGCCCCCTATCCCGCATGCCAATGATTTACAGTGAATAGGTGAAACAAGAAGTGTCAAAAACAGACAAGATCAGACAGCAGATTCTGAATGTGTCTTTTGTTTTTAACTAACCCTCTTCCTCGTGGTCCCGCTTTAACTACCCACAAGATGGAAAGACTATGTCCAAAGTTCATTCTGGGAAAACATGTAATTGTGACATAAAGCAGCCATGTTGATTGTATTTTTAACAATAAGTTGATACGTTGTAGGTTTTCCAGTTTTCATTAATTTGTTGAATACAAAATGTAACGTTATTAAAAAAGGTTGACGAAATGACGTTTCTGTGGCGTTATGTTCAGGTTGTGTTTGGATGTCTGAAGTCACGGAATGTTACCGATATCAAACCGGACTATAACACCAACTACAGCGACACATTACAAAGTAGTAAAATCTTCTCATCACATCGAGATAATATGTTTTTTAATCATTTACTCCACACTGTTCGTCATCTGTTCCTGTACTCTGTTTCCGTGCTCTCGGACCTTAGCCGTTTAGCTTCATGCTAGCATGCAAAACCCAAGTCTGACAACTCGATGAACCGGTTATTGTGGCCCCAAAACCAAGTGAACGACCATTCTAGACGCTCTCCATGACATGCAATAGCTATACGTTAGGTTGCTATCCAATACCTGCGCACCAATTAGCCTGCAGTTGGATACGGCAGCGGGCTAACTAGCCAAGCTGCTAGGCCATCACCAAGTAGAGGCTCGCCGATGGATGGCTTTCATGCTTTAGGAACTCAAGGAAGGTCACATCCTCGACAACGTCAGGACCCAGAGGAGGAGGAAACGCAGCGAAAAGTTGCCCAGCTGCTCGTGTAACAGCTAAACGTGGGATCAAACGGGACCGAGTTGGCCGATCGGTCGTTATTCGGAGCTAAATCTGCTCGCAGCGACGAGTTTCAGATCGGGTATGAAAGTGGAGAAAAGCTCCACACATCGCAACGGTTAACGTTAGCTCCCACTAGCCTTCCTTCGTTTGTAGCTAGCTAGCGTTAGCTCCCCTGTTACAACTTCGACCGAGCAGTGAAGCAATCCATTTGTGGCTCAGTTGGTGCGGAGTGTGTGCAGCACACACGCCAGAGATCAAACCCCCGAGTACAAATGGCATCTCGGTTAATGTAAGTAAGGCCTCACCTCGCTTCGCCCTGGGTGAGTTTTTCCTGCTCAGACTGCTGGCTCTTTCTTCCTCCAGTGCAGCTGTTATCTCCGGGTTGTCTTCCACAGTGTACCACACCAGCAGCTCCTCTCCCGGCCCGATAGGCTGCAACAATGAGAGATGAGGTCGGCCACCAATCACAGCTCGGCTTGCTGGGAGGCAAGGGGGATATTTGGGCCACTGTGCATCTTATCTTATTTTAGGCGGGGGGGGGGGGGGGGTGGAATTTGACAGTGTTTTCACCATAGTCTGCAGTATATTCACCACTAGTGCACATTTTTGGATTAATGTTTATTGTGGGACATAGTTACCATAACAGCATTTAACCACTTTTTTAGATGTGCATGAATCTTAAAGGGCATTAAGCTTCATATATCACAGGTAGTGATTTCAAACAGATGCATTTACACTTTATATTACAGTATATCTCAGTTTTATCCGGTGGTTGAAGAGGGTCAAATTCTAGCCAACCTTTACGATAACAATCAGTTTTGATTGAAACTGTTAGAAAAGTATTACTTTCACTGTTTGTTTATTATTGGGGTTGTAGTTTGCAGTGGTGTTGAACTGGACAGCATTATAATGACAGGTGTTTTTAACATTCATATACACACGTGCCCCTGTTTGTATGACCTATAGGCTGCATGAATGCGTTTGACCTACCCTTAACACTTTGTAGTAAATGGCTTTGTTGATCTCCAGGGGGAAAAGATTCTGCTCTTCACCGGAGCGTGCCCAGTTCACGTATCGCAGCCAGTTCCCCTTCATGGGGTCTGTGGCGTCAACACACATCCAGCCCCGCGCTGGGAAGTAAATCTATAGGACACACGTACAATTAAGTTTTAGTATGTAGCTCTAGAGGAACTGGACAGAAGCACTAAATGGTGTCACCTTTACCCAAGTGGGAACTAAAACATAATCAGCAGCATTTGTCATAGCAATGTAACAAAGGTTGCTTTTTTATTTCCTCCAAAACAGCAGTTGTGCCTTGAGATGTTTGAGTTAATATATCGTACAACTCTTACAGGTGACAACAGATTATGTAGGTTACCGACATAATCTTGTGAAACTGTGGGAAGTAGGACTTGTTTTAGCTATGCAGAGAAGAGAAAAGGTGCAGGGGAGGATTTTAGGGAACAATGCCACAAGAGCAGCCTGTAACGTACCTCCCACATGTACACGTTACTGGTCACCTGGGACCTTTTTTTCTTCTCTCCAACAAATGGGCCGAACCGCCGGCCTTTAGGGATGAACTGAGTGGCCCAGACACCTGGAAATAAGAATAAGTAAAACATGTTATACCCATTACATTTGACATATATATATTTTAGCATTAAATATGATACAATTTGTATTGGTTTTTGTTCGATTTTAAATACATTTAGAGAGTTGTTTCACTTAAACAATGGTGAACCTTGAACTTAACCTTACACTCAAGGAAGTGGATCTTCAGGATTGGCATAATGAGGCTGACAATAACTAGAGGTTATTTAAAACTGAATTTTTGTTTTTCAAAAATGTTTTTTTTTTTGCTTAGCCTTATGTACAAAACAAGTCCGTCTGCGGTAGGCATGGAAGCCCTAACCTGCCAGTTTAAAATAAGAGGAACTGACATAATGACATAACTAGCATTTAAATTCACTTTTCTTGACATTATTTGATCATCCTCAAATGCATTAAAAGTTCTTCATTTTTCAACACAGTCTAGTCTCGCTGTCATTTGCTGCTGGAAGGCATTTTCAAAGTTGTACATCAGTGAAATGCAAATTGAAATCAACATGTTAATTGAGGTTAAGTCCCTCCCCCATCTGGTGTCCCCCATGGGACCTTATTTCGTAAAAAAAGTTGTCTGGTAGTCAACTGCAAGAGACAAATATTTTTTTTGATTGTACCACGAATTACAGATATGTTAATTATGTCAATTTAAGAGATAATTTTGCACATCATGAAATTCACTCTTTGTCGTAGGTTTGCCATAGTACCATATAGTTTTGGTTGAAACTCGTCACGCACAATAATCAACACAAGCTCGCCAGCTAGTTAGGTAATTTAGCTACATATGTTCCAGGCACAAATGTAACATTATCTGACCTGATGTTTTTCTTCCACCGACTTATTTATCAGCTGGGAAGCGAAAGAACGACCAAGACCCGTTGTTATTGTGAACACAGCTTCAGTGAGAGACAACACTTATGCAACTTTTGGGTGTGAAGTCTTTCCAACTACGCATTTATTTTATCACAAAATGCAACTTTCTTGATGTGCAAAATGATCTTTTAAATTAGCAAACATCATATGTGTAATTTATAGCACAATTCAAACTGGATGAAAAAATGATTTGTCTCTCAGTCCTGACTACCGTACATATTTTTTCCATAATAAGGTTTGCCTCCCGGTGGTCTTAAAAGTAGTCAAATGTTCTCCATACGGAATTCAGAGCATATCTATTGCCTCCACACAGCTCTCAACATGGAGACAGCTGAGCCAGCGGCTAGCAGCTAACGGTGCTATCAGCGCAAACAATGACAACAGCACTGAAAGCACTAACGGTGTAAACCTGAGGGAACCGGAGGCTGGGCGCTACGCTTCTGCATAGATACAGTGGGTCGGGGCAATGTTATCAGACATAACCGCTGTCTGTGCGCAGTACAAAGCAGCGGCCATGAGCTAGCCAGTGAAATTCACATGCACTAAAATGCATGAGCTGCTGGCCCACAGAGGGAGATTGGCTTCATTTTCTGCTCAGGTAGCTATTAATCCACTATATCTTTAAATAGCAAATAGTGGTTTTCTGCTATATTAATGCTCTGAATACTGTATATAAAACCTTTAAAGTTGCAGTTATCTAAACAGACACTCTTTTGTACTCACCGACGCGGCTTTGATTTATAGCGGACGGTCCAAGACGCAAACAGTCGGGCAAACCCTTCCACACATGACCTGGAATTTCATCTAGGGTTTCTACTGTCCCTCCAATGATAGCCATGATCTGCAATACATGAAATGTGTTGTTATCAAAACGCATCAAAGCCCTGCAAAAATAATTATGCATGACATGTTGAACATCAATAGGTAATATACCAATTTTATAGATTGCTAGAAGTAGATATGTGTTCAGATAGGTTACCAAAAGACAGCGGGCACCAAGTCTTAATGGAGCGTTATCACATGAGACTACGATTAAAGTGAGTGATTAAAAAGTAGCAGAGCACTTCCTATTCATTACAAAGAATCATGACTGCATCTCAGTGAGGGAAACACACCAACTGTCTAATACTTTCCCTTGAAAGTGTTGAGGTTTTCTGCATAACACTGAAATGTTGAACCAAAATCTACTGTGACTTATCTTTTAGAGTGGTCCCGACCCACTAAAGTTCATGACAAGAGAAAGCTGAGCCTATTGGCTTCATGAAGGTTGTGACATGCAATTTGAGTTTACAGGTAGAAAGCAAATTGAAGATACTTTGCCTTTCATAAATATAGCAAGTAAGAAGTGTAGCCTACACATGTGATATTTAGGGCTTCAACTAATAAGTACTTTCATTGTGAATTAGTTTTAAGATAAATTAAAGATGAATTGTCAGGAAACCCCAAAGATAAGTCCAGAGATAAGATGAGCACAGCGCCAAGAAAGGCTAAATGTGCTAAAAATCAGCAGATAGTTATCATTTCTGCCTAAATGCATGTTGTGTAATTTACAGCAAGAGATGTGACATTTCAGATGAAATGTCTTTACAACGAATGCCAAATGATCCCATGGTTAATTTATTCATTGAAGTATTTATGTGATAGATGCAATAGTCAAAACACCAGAATAAAAAGAAAAAAACTGACATTTGAGAAGCTTAAACTACTGAATGTTGCTAAGAAAATTATTCAAATGACTTAACGATTATCAGAAAAGTCAAGCACATTTTCTCTTGATAAACGGATCAATTAAATGAACTTTCTTGCCTTAAAAACAGACTTTTCCATTACACTGCTATGCTTTAAGACCTTGGTTTTTTTTTTGGTTTTTTTTAAAGCTGACTGACCCATGTTTGGACTCACACGTCACACTGAATAATTACTTTAAACAATATTCCACATACCTCAACAGCGGATCTTTTGACCATAACGACTCCTACTTGATTTACTGATGAGGTATTACCTCAAAGGCAAGAATAAGGCTGACAAAGTGCAGACAATAAACCTCATTGTTAAAGATTCGTGGAGCTCGAGCTTGCATAGGCTATTCAACATCCTCTTTAAATAAAGGATCAAATGCATGAACTCTTTGCCGGGCAGTTCATTTAGATATTTATTTGATATATATTTTTTCTCTCCCTCACTATAATCCACTGGTGCTGGAATTGTGATCAGACATTTTTTGAATCCCCTCCAGTTCAAGCAACAAATGGAGAGATTTCAACGTGGGTGCGTGCGTAAAAGCGGATTGTAAAGCCGTATGCATCAAAAAAAAAAGTTGACAAAGAAAAAAAAAAACGACCGGGTATGTAAAGCGTACAGCGCCTGAAGGATGCAGTTTATTGTTACCCTTGTAGGCACACCGTCCGCTCTCCTTAATCTTCCCGATGCCGGCTGGAGCACGGTGGCTTTTCCTTCCTCAATGTTGCCTGTCGGACGGTGGTTTTGGGGGTTTTAAGCTACTCACACTCGTACTTACCTGCTTCATGTGACCGGGGACTTGTGATTTTTGTACCTGCTTTCAATCTGCTGAAAATGGCGGATGGAGGATTGAGTCGAAAGCCTCCTCTGTAACTCGGATCGTGGTGTGTTGTATTTGGGGAGAGGCAGCCTGTCAGACCCGCACACTCTCACAGCGATGGAGCAGTAATGTCTTTTTAGTGTGTGTGTGTGTGTGTGTGTGTGTGTGTGTGTGTGTGTGTGTGTGTAGACGACGAGGCTCCCTGGTGTCCTCTCCTGCAGGCAGTGGCTCCAGTCCTGTCCACAATGCAGCCTCACATGAAACCATGCCAATTAAGTACCTTGCTTAGATTCGTCTGTGAGCATAATGGGCCTGTAGGCTGGTGCCATCTGTGCACGCATGAATAGCTAAGGAGAACTCAATAAAAGCAGGCAAATGCAGGCTTAAAGGTGCTACTTATTTCTCAACTTTTATTTTTTATTAAAATATATAAAATGTTTCACCCGCTGCGAGTTGTTTATTTAATAATACTCTTATTCTAAAACACCTACCAACTGATTAAAAGTGAGTAATTTACAAGTTCAAAACAAATGAGGGGAATGTCTGAATAATGCTGTATAAGCACAGTGTTGGTATGACTGAATTAAATTCAATTAACTCCTTATTTCACCTGGATAGTTTTAGTATCTTACTAAGTACTGCTTTCAAGGGAGTCCTACACATATTAGAAACAAAGAAGGCAATGAAAACGCATCAAACTGTCTGTTAATCAAAGCAAAGATGAACCGCACTATTTTAAAAGCAAATGATTTTAGGATATGACTCACAATTTTTCACTCAGGAGCCAGTTTATTAGGTACACCTAGCTAAAACTGATGTAGTCTAATACAAACGTCCTGCAATAGAGCCTCCCTTCTTGAAGGTTATAATGTTCTGTTTTCGTGTTGTTTGCACTGCATGGTCCTTTTGTAGAATGTAGTTTGTGGTGCTGTTGAACTGTTTTGCATTATACAGAGGTGTTTCTGTTATTTAGCCTATCTCATTTATAAATATGATGGACACAATGTGTCAGTATAATGCAGTTAGCGTGGTGTACTTAATAAACTGGCAGGTCAGTGTATATGTCATTTTGCAGCAAAAGTCTTCAAATGGACATGAAGATCAGCAAAAACTGCAATTTTTCAGCATTATGGGTACAAGGCCTCTAAATACTCTTAAATCCTCTATCACAGTAAACTAAATATATATATATATATATTACACTATAAATGTATACATCTTGTTACAGTAGTCTACATTTTCTATGAATGGCTGTTTTGGTCATTTACCTGACACATTAAAGTCCCGCAGAGATGTTAAAGGGATGCTGTAGCTGCCAGGTAAGAAACAGTAAAAGTAGGAAATTCTTTGATGGAGACAAATTCCAAATCTGCTCACAATATATATTATCATATTAACCAACATAGCCTCAATAGCAGTGGTGTATAGTAACGAAGTAGAAATACTTCGTTACTGTACTTAAGTCGTCGTTTTTGGATATCTGTACTTTACTTTACTACTTATATTTCTGTTGATTTTTACTTTTACTTCGCTACATCTTGCAAAGAAAACTGATACTTTTACTCCGATACATTTCCCCTGAAACCTTCGTTACTCGCTACAAAATCAAATCTATCTTTAGAAACAAAATGAATCATGAGACCAGCGTCGGGGGACTGTGGTGGAACACAGACTGCAAGCAAGCAGGTTTGGTGAATCAGTTAAATCATTGGTTAATCACGTTAATGCGCAAAACAAGTGCTCTCAAAGCCGCGGTGCTTTGATTCCCAGTGATGCCCAGGATGCTATATGCTATAGCTAGCGAGCGACTACGCGAGCAGAATTCCACTCTACGATGACTGATTTCATGACGGAAGCAGAGATGGAAGCACCTGCTACTCCCGCAACAAACGACGGTGGTGACGAAGACCAACACCCGTGGATCGCTAGCGAGTTAGTGAGCTGAGGAAGTGTTGACAGTTGTGCAGCACCAGTTGGCTAACGTTAGCTATAGCTAGCCACCACACCATAGGATTGACAGGAGCCGCGAGAGCGCAGCATCAGGGTTAGCATTAGGGTTAGCATCAGGGTTAGCATTAGGGAAATCCTTCCCAGCTGTGCGCAAGCTGTGTGTGAAGCTGAACGCACCTCTACCTGCCTCAGCGGCCTGTGAAAGGCTGGTTAGCATCGCAGGACTAGTCTTCAGCCCAAGAACAGCGAGACGGAATTCTCGCAATTTTGAAAACCAACTTCTTTTGAAGATGAACAGGACATTTTTCAGTTTCCAGTAATGACTGGGTTGCTGCTTTAGTATTGATCATGTTTTGATATTTGAGTCATTTTGTGGATGATCAGATGGAGTTATGATGGTAGCAGTCGCCCAATTGCAGATTCAGCTTGAGCAAAACCTTTGCCTGTTGTGTTCAATTCAGTTTACAAGGCAGGCGTCCTTTCTCTAAACACTGACCTGATGCATCAAGTGGATACTTTTTGCTGAACACAATATGATGCATTTGCCCTCTACGTCCTCTAGTCGGAATGAGCATACTTATAAACGCACTGCTACAACTCCTTCATAGTGTCGTATTGCTTTTCTGAGATTTATGATGATGAGTTCATAGCAGATGCAAAAGTATACTTATGTACAATATATTATGTTGAACATTGTTGTTCCTGGTTGGATCACAGCCAACCCAATTATTTCCAACACAGCTCCATGTCCTTGGTCATGGTGGCCACAGCACTTAAAAGAATAAACTTCATAATTCTCAAAATTCTGACGCTTTGCTTTTTTATTGACAGCATTTACTTGTACTTTTACTTTCAATACTTAAGTACATTTAATATCAGAAAATTACTTTTGATACTTAAGTACAATAAATATCAGATACTTTAAGACTTTTACTCAAGTAGTATTCTAATAGGTGACTTTTTACTTTTACTGGAGTAGTTTTCCAGTAAGGTATCTTTACTTTTACTCAAGTATGGCTTTTGAGTACTTTATACACCACTGCTCAATAGGGGAAAACTAGAAAACATTGTAATTGCTTTCATGAGATGGACAAAACAAAAGTCCATCTCTGTACAGCATGTGTCCTCTGTTCTCTGCAGGTTGCAGGTGTTGATACCTGAATTAGCTTCAGTAGGATTCAGTTCCTGTTCCCACATGTCACATTGTCTCTCAAAGGCCATGCTAGGTAACCATGACTGTCATCACTATGTCTGTGGCCACTAGAGGCTGCTGTGCTCCCATAAACAGCTTGTGTCCTTGTCAGGTTGAAGTGTGTGCTGGGAGGTTTGAGCGCTAGTTAGAACAGGACCGATACACTAATAATGTAACTGTCAGAGCAGCACTACGACTGGCTGGTTGGCTGAGTTGTAACAAATGTGAGCGGATGTGTGGTCTACGGGTTTCATTGTTCCTCTTTCTGTGGCAAACTTAAAACCTTCTCTCCATGGCGAGCAGGAGCAATCATGCAACATGTCTCTGCATCTATTTTAGTTCTTTCTTACATAAACCTTACAGGAACAAAATGTAACACAATTCCTTCTGTTCATAAGTATGAAAGGATCTGTGTTACAACTTCTCAAGGCGTGACCTCATGCCACATGAGGACACATAGTTCTTACTCTGAAAGTGTAGCAATCGGCACACCGGAGGGTACTCAGGGTTGTTATATCAATCGCATCTCCTGTTTTGAGTTTC